ATAGATTCAGTTCTTAAAAGGCCTAACTTCATCTGCTAAATGAACTGAAGTCTCCATGTTCTTACCTCAAAAACTACAGGAAGAAATGGGGCCCAGAGCAGAAATAAGCAAAAGTTGCTTTTCGCAAGGGTGAGAATAAAAAAATCTAATTAAATTTTTAAAAACTTTTTAAAACTGTAAATAAAACTGAAAAGTAAAATAAAATTTCACATGGTGAATAATTTTTCTAGCCAGTCAGTTCTCTTTTAATTCCTTTTTATATCAATAATCATTTTACAGTCTCCCTTTTTCACCATCTATCCTATCTCAGGCTTTAAATATTTAATGCAGACACACACTAAATAGTTAAAGGCCAAGTTTTAACGATAACTATTGGGAAAACCGAACTCTTTCTATACCCACACTGAGCACGGATGAAAATAAAATACACAGGGACTACCTCAATAGGTGTGTGAGGGGGGAAAAAAAATGAACAATCAACTCAGAAAGTCATTTTGTTAAAAATATTTATTTAAAAAAATACAATTGTTGTCTGTATCTAGTTGCACATATATCCATTAACATATCTATATAATTATGGACTTTAATAAATTTGCTACAGTGCTTTCTTGAAGCCAGCTTGCCATTATACAAAGCAAATTCCTGTCAGTTCTTACATAAAAGTTTTTTTAATGTATCATCTTTCTAATAAGATGCATATTCACCATTACAGAATTTAACAAAATTTTTGCATAAAACTTGAAGCGATAGAAAAAATAATCACCTGATTGTTTATTCAGAGCAACCCCTTACCATGTCTAGAGACGCACTGAGTATCAGCTACGTTTTTTTCTTTGAAAAGCGGTGTATTTTAAAACCCTCGAAGTGCTGGCGCGTCCTCACCCTCACCCACCTAAATGCGGTGCAAAGTTTCTTTGCTGAAATATAAATAGAATTCAAGATTCTAGCTACAGTGGTCCTGGTCAGCCTTAAAACAACATCCCTTTGTTTCTCAACAGATGAAGTCAGACTGCTTAGCTAGAAAATATGGCAGTTTCTCTTAGTTACATCAACAATTAATGTGGTTTTAATAAATGTTAGCCATCACCATCATTTTGATTGTTTTAGGAAAAAGAAGAAAAGAAGTGATTTTAATACTTTGAAAGTCTCCCTAATGTAAATTACACTGAAAGTAAGACAAGTTAATAATGATGCTTTAACAGTTATTCATTCCTTTGGGTAGGTATGCACTTGTATTTTACATATAAGTATTCTATTTATACAGAAGTGGTGGATATCGGATATTATGATAGACTTCAATAAAATAAACAAGAGAGGAAATTAAAAAAAAAGAAGTAACTGTCTTCTCAGTTGAGTTGATCTATGCTTAAGGAAAGCACCCTGGCAAGTCCTTATCACCACACATCCCAAACTAGGACGCCGACACAGAAGAATACACCTTTCCTGTGTTAACACCACAGAAGACATAGGCTTCTCTTCTGAATTATAGGCGTGGATGAAAATTAAGTTTATTATTTAAAATCATTTAATATTCAAGTGATAGCCATACTTGAAGATTCAGTAGGGCTCACAGAAAATTATCAGTTTGTTCTTCAAAATACACTTTTTATTTTTAGTCAACTTGATTATTTGGTGAATAAAGGGCATAATTCTAAAAAACAAATTTTAGTCAAAAATTTTACTTGCCTCAAACCAAAGCTAACCAATGGCAAAATGTCTGGACTGAGTTTCGTATTTCATATTCCCTGCCCACAAAGATAAACAAAACTGCTAGGAGATAAAAGTGAAGGAACAGGTATGACTGTGATTAGATTAGACTGAATGGCCAAACCGAATAAATAGGCCTCGAGTAATCAAAAACTAATTGCATTGATTTCTAGCTTTACATATATGCATCTTAGTTAATTTCACTGATACTGAGCAGGGAAATTCTTCAAATATGCTACTTTAACACAAAAGCAAGGAGTGTAATGTACATATAAAGACCATTGGTAATACTGCCCTCAAAAACAAAAAATATGAAATGTCTTAGAAGGGACTATGCCCTACACAACAGACAATAAGCAACAATGATTAAACAGAAAAGAAACTTAAAACTGGATAGTTTACAAAGTTGAGTGCAATCCATCAATTGCAAATTGTTAAAAGTCGTACATTTCTACAAAGCAGAATATTAAAGCTTGTAAATTATTTTAAAGCAACCTAGCCAAAAGAGCACGCCTTACAGAGCCTAGAAGAATGGCTCATTCCGTAATCCATTTACCCCTTTTCCACTCTTAAGTTCCAGAAAATATAAATGAGAAATAAACGTTACTTCCCTGACCCTCAATATCCATAAGTTGAAATTAAGCAAACAAAATAATCATTAAGTGCTTCCAGTTATTAAAAACAAAACAGTGCTAATAATGGTGCCCCCAAAAGTGCCAAGCGATTTAATACCAATATATGGCATTCCCACCCCCTGAACTCTAGGCATCCTTGAATGATTCCATTGGCTAGGGCTCTGGCCCAGCCACAGGACAACCCTCCTCTGCCTTACCCTGTCTAGAAGATCCCAGGCCTGTCCTAGCATGGCTCATAATCCTTGGAAGGGACAAGAACCAGAATGGGCCCTTATGAGATGGGAAACAAGGCAAAGTTGAGAAGAATATCCAGCCCGAGATACTCTGAGGTTTCTGCTAATGCTTATTGTGTACAGTTTAAAGAGATAAATTAGGCTATAATGCCAGAATTCCTCCACTATTATATCAATCCATGGTCAAATCTGTATTGCAGAAATATTTCTAATATAAACCTCCTCTCTGAGAAACTTAGAAACCAACGTAATAAGAGTTTTACACAAAAACAAAAGTAAATGTAGAAATTTTAAGAAAAGCCATCCTTATTTGCTAAATAATATATGAACATACGAGAACAGTTTAAGAAGACTTTGTTTACCATTTGTCACATAAAGCACTGTATTTTTAAAATGCTGGCAAGCAATTAGTCTTTAAGGCCTATGATTCTATATATGTTAAAAAAACAAATGTGCAAAGCATTAATTTTTAAAAAGTGGCAATTGCAAAGTGCAGCCAATTTCTTAAAAGTTTTATTATAAAATAGCCTAGGAGCCATCCTAGAGGATGAATAATATATGTTCCCTCTGAAAAACAGATTTACACACACGGAGACAATACATCAGTGTACACACACACACACACACACACACACACAATGTACTCAGCTAACTAATCAGAATGACTTGGAAAGAAATGCTCTAGTCTCCCAATAAAATATTAAAAATAAAATTTTAAATCTCGTAAAACTTCCTGATGTGCATTATACTCAAAGGATTAGGAGTTCAACAAATTTACTGTAATAATAAATGAATTTCCTTGGTAAAGGTTTCATTTTAAATGATGTCAACAACAGCTTGAATTTCTTCACTTACTCGAAATGCTCTGGATTTCCATCTTTCACAGTGGCGAAATGTGAACAGCAGAAATTGCTATTTTCTGGCAAGCTGTCAATCTATCACAATTTTTTTGTTTCAGAAAAGTAGCTTAAACAAACTAGCAGCTGCAAATGGAATATATATACTACATCAACAACTCACCTTTCAGATTTGCTCTGTTTACAGGTCAAAACATGACTTTTTACTAACAAGTTCCACCAAGTACGAGAAATGAAATCAAAACACCTTCTTTTCTTGCCTAATCCACTGCCACCCACAAGAATTCTAGATTCTGAGATTAAAACACTGACTTCAGTAAGCAGAGTTCTGATGACTTAAGAAGAGTAACAAGGCACCTTGTTTTCAGGCTTTACACCAGCAGCATTGAAAACAACAAAACATGTACTTGTTCACCCAAAACCAAGAAGGTAATTGACAAAATACTTTCCATAGAACCCATTCTCTAGTCTGAGTACCTGCTAAAGAAATACAGCTATGGTTAACCTCCATTTCAATACTATAGATTAAGCAATTAATTCTCAATTCCCTTTTAGAAATAATATATTGTCATACCCTCAGGTAACAGACTACATACATCATGGGTATTTTTTTTAACTTTCCTGTTGGTTTGGTAATTCTTCAGAGCTCCGGGTTTCTGCACAAAGAGACCTGTCTGTACTTGTCTCCACCCTCATTTACACAACTAAGAATGGCACCTCAGCACAATCCCAGATTTCTGGCATAAATAAATAAAATATACGTACTAAATGAAGTGATAAACAGAACAGACCCATTAAGAAAAGCATTTCTTCAGATGTTGAAATGTTACAAAAAAATAATAATAAACTTACTAATGAAGCAAGAAAGTGGAGGTTGTTATGTATTTCAGCATAAAGCAACTTGAAATAATTCTGATTTTGTTGGTAACATAACATTAATAAGGCCAAATGAAGATTGTAAGCAGACTAGTAAAGTAAAAGTACATTATAAAATCATATCTATAATATCAAAAGAAAAGAGACAACAGCCTGTCAAAAACGATATGCATGAAGCTCTGGAAAACATCTGGTAATGGGTGACTTGGCAACTTATAAAAAAGAATATGAAATTTCAGAAAGGTCTGAAAAGGTCTCCTGAGAAAGTCTCCTGAAAAATTCGAAATCTCTTCTAGAGATTTTGCATGAAAATCAGATCAAATGTGTAAAGGATCTCTCCATATAGCACAACAAAAGCATCCACATTTTTTTTCAAGATTAGACTGAGAACCAACCTCCTGAGTCAGCGGTCTTTAGAGTGCGTGCTGCCCGACGGTGCACAAGACAACCTACTGGCCACAGAAAGAAAATGTCAGAACTTCTACTCAAGATTTACTCTTTATGCCATCGTATTTCTATTTTTGTGCATGTCGTATAAATGCACATATCACTTTAGTATTACGGTATATAACTTAAAATATATACATGGATTTGCAAGTAGGGAATTTGTGTTCAAAAACTTTTACTGACCAAGGTGTATGTTCAAAAAGATTGGAGACTGTTTTCCTGAAATGTCAATGAATGTCTCTAACATGCCTAAATTGACTAGAACTGTCTTTTAGAACTTTAGAACCATAACACAAATTCTGAGACCAGGATGAAACGATGTCGTTAGACTGAACATCATGCCATGCCGGATGCGAACGGAACTGAAGTGATACTATCAACGGCCTGCAATTACAGCTCCAGAATTCCAACACTCTGATTTATTCTTCCCTCTAAGCCTAACTGACACATAGTATGGAGAAAACTAGAAAATGTGCCAGGTAAATAGATTCGACAACCAGTCTTGCCTTTTTGATCTCTAATATAGCATGCAAATCTTCAAGGAATTCTTCCAGTTTTTTTTTTTTTTTTTAAATCCAGTACTCTTTTACTACATAGGCTCATGGACATACTTTCTTCGTCAAAATATGAAAAAAAAATTACACCTATTTTGTAACCATCAAAATGTGGAAAAATTAAACCTATACTTTAACTCTAAAAAGCTTAATATTGAGGGTTTCTAGATTCGTCCATCATGTATGTATATTTTTTTAAATCAGTGGAAGTTTCTACGTTTGTTTGAATACACAAAATATGCCAGGAGGAATATTACATCACAAAAGCACTGTGACAGACCATGAAAAAAAAGATTATTCAAGTCAGACATGTAATTTTAATTCTGTATTTTTAAAAATCATTATATGAACAAGAAAAAAATATTTTAGAAATTATGTGGCAGTTAGGGAGGCAACTCACCCTAGAGTGGAATAAATGCAGGGGTCTGCTGGCTGTGGGTACCGCTGTATACCAACTGTGCCCATCCTTTCTCAACTCCAAGGTCATTGTGGCTTAAAATCAGCCACAGGGGGAGTATTTCACATCATGGAAATCAGCAAACGCTACCATGTAAGGGCTTTTTTCCCCTGCAGAGAGGTGGTAGTAACATTTTCCACCATATGACTGAGCAGAAATAGATAGAAAGCTAAGATAATCTCAGATGTCGCAAAAGCTCATTCACCCTGCTCCCCTTTCTTAACTTAGGCTACTTTTGCCCACCGGCATTCATCCTGGCAAAGTAATTAGTGACAGACACCAGCTACAACTACCAAATATAAGTCTCTCCAGTGAATAATGATCTCAAGTGGTATGTCACCTTTGGATGCTAAAAACTATGGGTACTCAAAAAAAATATGAAGCTGAGACTTTTCCAGGAAGGAGGTAGTTTACAAATAGAACGGTCTGCCTCATACAATTGGGCTAAGGTTGTAAACTTTCATTTAAAAAAGCACAAGGACGCACACAGAGAGACAGACAGACACAGACACACACACTTTTCTCAGATTAATTGATCTCAAAGAGAAAGTAGATCATCATCTCCCTCCTAAAGCCCACACCTCTCAGAAGCTTCCAGGATAGGTTTATAGACACGGGAGTCACTGAAACTTGTTCCTATGAAGTTGCTTTGACTGAATTTTAATGATGTCCTTGCTTTCCACGCACCCCTGTGCTAAGACAGTTAATTAGTAATGATATCATCTGGGAAAACAACCAATGGCTTTGCCTCCAAAAGAGAAAATATTTTTTGCACTTCCAAAAATTGTTTAAATCTAATTAAATCAAGCCATCGACATTTACTTATTTAATGTATAAAATGTTAATTAACCTAATAAAACTATTCCAAAGTGCTGTTGAGAGGTCTAATTTCAAACAGGCATGCAAACTAAATGGTTCGACATGGGAAGAAAGTCCAGTAAGTCTGTTCCGCATCACTACTGAACACTGTTTTCAACACTACTATTGCACGTCTCAGGAACAGATCCTTCAGCTGAGAACCACAGATGAAGTAGTAACAGGTCTCCAACACTACAAGTTCAAAGGCAGCTCCCTGAATATTTCCCTCAGCTACTACTAAACTAGCACAGGTATCTTATACTAGAGCTTCTCCACATTGCATATAAACACATTTAAAGTGAATGTTATATATCCGGAAGATGCTGGTTTTTATCAGTGCCATTTTGAACCCTCAAGTCTTTACTCCCTCATTCCACTTAGTTCATGTGATTCAGTTATAGGATTCAATTATATTTCTTGGGTTAAAAGACTAGTTTAATGGGCACGGTGGGGGGAGGGGGGGCGGGTAGTGGCCACATATACTCTAATCCTGGACTTTAAAGCCAAGTTTTTCAAAAGATCCCACTGCAATATTGGTATCAATTCAGTTTGGGGAACCAACAAAGCTGTCTGCACCTGGCATTGATTACCATATGGTAATATTTTATAAATTTGGAAATACTGAAGAAAAGGCCTAAATTTTTTACTACTAATATGAACAATCTAATCTCTATGTATGAGCATTTCCAAATGAACTCTGCTCCTCCCAAAGTATATAGAAAAATTCAAAGAAATAAGCACATTTTTAACTCCTAGGTTTGGAGGCTTCACTTCGCTTTTCACCTCCCTAATTACATCTTCAAAACTATCGTGACCTCTCACAACCTTAAATTTAAAAGAAGATAAATATATAGTAGAAAATGAACAGAAAAGCAAAGGGTCCTTCATGCTGGCTTTTTTCTAACTTGGAAAAGCCCCACATGTTGTTTCAAGTTATTTGACTGAATCTTTTACTCAAAGATGCCTCAAAATTTCAAAACCCAGGTTCATCCTCCTAAAAGCCATCATTTACCACACTGTATTCCATGGGTGTATAATCATACCTTCCACAGAGCAGCCGACATTGCTGTGCTAGATATGGAGTTCCTATATTCTCCCTGGCTTGTCCAAACACTGTCTTAAAGCCCACGTTTAAAAAGAGACTGTCCTAGGCTCTACTGACAGGTTCAGACAAGATCACATGTATGGCTGAGAGACCCACCTTGAATAAAAGTAAATAAGATACCTTTTTGCAGAATTGCTTACATATGTTAGAGTTCACAGCAAAATACAGTCTCCCCAATAGTACTGCTCAACCTTCTTATATATGACTGGGAACGATTCTTTTTCCTCCATTGCTTAAGCACAGCTCCCTTTTAGTTATTCAACAGTGAGTACTTAGTCCTAAAGAGATGGCCGATTTCATTTAACTAATATTTCTTTAAATAAAATACTCAAAGCGTCATTTTTTCTGGCCAAAAGGTCCCAATAAGGCAGAAGGAGTAACTTTGTTCTTAAGTGCTCTTGCAAAAAGCAGTTAGCTGCTAAACCCCACCAAAATTTTCTTTAACACAAAGCTTGAAATACTTTCAAAAAAAGAAGGAAAAAGATGGGAGTGGAGTTTGGACTCCAATTAAGGCATTTTTATACACAGTCCAACTTGAATCTTATTCAAAGGGAATCTTAAAAAGGCATTTGAATGGGGAATGGCAAAAATCACAACAGTCTATTATCAGCATCATGGAACTATCAATCGCTCACTTCAAATGTAATCATGTTGTATATCTCTGTTTCTTTATTCCTTGGCTCTCTCGTTCCACAGTGCATAGGTTATGTTTTCTGCAGATCTGGGGAAAATGGGCCAGGGGTGGAAGGTCCATCCAGGCTAGAAAGAGTGAATGGCCCATGACTGTTCAAAACAGAAGGAAACTAAGAAAGAAAATAAAACACGTTATCATCCTTTTATTCAATCCCGATGTTCACTTTCTGTCCCTACTATGTTCCCCACAGAAGAACATGACAGCTGCCTGCAGTGGCTCACAGGACAAAGGCAGTAACTGTTTATCATGAAAGAATATGATTTTATAAAAAAACTTTAAAGAATGTTAAATATTAACACTCTCCAGCCTACCTTGATAGAATACAAAGAACAAATCTATACCTTCCCTCATATCCTAAGGTACAGAGGATTACATTTAACTTCAAAAGAATGTTTTAGAAAGTTCAGTAAATGACAACATGCACTTTAGTCAATTATAAAGCAAATCACAGACTGTCAAAAAGAGGTCCAGAAAGAGAGACCCATGTATTAACTCAATTTATAACTGGTGCAAATAGTTATATGGTGTTCAGCCCAGAAAACTACTCCTCCATCATGCGTTTTGAGACCAATTCTATAGGGAGATGCCAGGCTGAAGCAACCTGAGCACTACAACTTTGCTTCAGGTCTCAGATCGCTCTGTAACTCAATTATCGGTTTGTGAGAGGCAAAGAAAAATGTAAAAATGAAATATGGAAGATTCTCAACACTCTATTCAATAATTTAAAACTTATTGCAACAAAAAAATGCATAAGTAGAAAAATTTTTAATTTTCTTTTCTCTTACCATTTCATTTCCAAAAGAACAAATGAAAAGTTAAATTTAAAAAATATAAGAAAATCTTCCAGGGAGTCATCCTAAATAAGTGAATGAATCAACCTTAAGAAAGCCTACAAGTTATAAAAAGTCTAGATGTTTCAGGCAGAATACTAGTTAAAAGATGTAAAACTTTTCCTAAGATCTTGGTTAAGACATAACACAATATTCATTTTTTAAAATACATTTTAAATGTTTGTAAGTATCAATTCTGAGTGAGGAGGAAATGGAAGTACTTGATGTACTATTCTCAAGAGTTTTCTCTACTTTTTTTAATCCTCGAAAGTGGAAATACCCTCTATATATGTACACACATATACGTATATATGTGTTTATATGAATACATATGTGCATATATTCCTAAAAAAATGAGTTTAAAATGACAAAAAAATTGGGTGGACTCAGAAACTACTACAGTATTGAGCAATTCTTGCTCTAACTCAAATGTATGTAATGGTCAGCAATGAAAAGGAAACTTGGCTGTGAATGTTTATCTGAGCTGTTTGCTGGCTAGGAAATTATCACTTAGAAATTCAAAAACAATTACCAGATGGGAGGGGCTTGGGGGGGGTCAGTGAAAAAGGGGGAAGGGATTAAGAAGTACAAATTGGTAGTTAAAAAACAGTGAGAGATATAAATAAAGGACGGCATGGGGAATATAGTCAATAATGTTGTAATTACTTTGTATAGTGTCAGATGGGTGCTGGATTTATTGGGGTGATCACTTCATGAGTTATACAGATGTCTAGTCACTATGCTATATACCTGAAACTAATATAATATTGTATTTCAACTATAATTGAAAAATAAGAAATATTATTTTGAAAAAATAAAATATTTAAACTGTTTAAAAAAATCGAAAAACTAAATAGTCATTAAATAGAAGTTTTATAATGATTTAACTGAAGAGTGGGATGCTGCCTTTTTGCCTCTTTCTTCACTTACCATCCCCCCCTTATAAGAGACAGGCTTTTAGGCCATTTACCTGGAAAAGTGTGTTAGCACCTTGCAGCCTGGCTGGACTGAGGGGAGCAACAGGGCTGAGAGTGCTCCAGAAGTGGATACTGGAGAGCAAGGGGCTCGGAGTCAGTAAGATGGGTGTCTGCAATACACAAAGCAAAAAAAAAAATCGCTAACGAATGAGGATTACGTTTGATCCTTGTAATGATACACAACCCTGAACCCAAGTATTGTCCTATTCACCACTCCGAAGCTCTCCCAGTCTGAAATTTTATCGTGATGAAAAACTCAGAAATTATTTTACAACTTAAGAAAGATAAAGGCTGTTCAACTATCTTAATAAATGTTTCACTGAAAAAAAAGAGATAAAGATCAAAATATTTTTTAACCTGTCTCTTGTAGGGTCTTTCCCAAATAGAAAAATCAATCTGAATTCAGGTACGGAGAAATAAAGGATAACTGAGTCAACAAACATATCTTTTCTTATTAATGAGAATATTTGTAAGTAATCTATCCATTTAGATGTTATGTTTAAGCAAGTTAAGAAATCTATGGTAACTACAGAAACTTATTACTCAACATTAACCATTCCTTTGTCTTAAGGTTCTCAGGATGAACTGTTTCTTAACTTGAGATTAGCACTGTTTTTTTAACAAGATATCAACCAGTTTTATAAGACCAAGAAAAAAAAGAGAGAATACTTATTTTCTTTAGAAGAAAACAGAAAAAACAAAATACATATTTACTTGTAGAACAACGACTTTTTTAAACACAACCCCAAACCTTTTTTGACTATCCTAATTGAGGAGGAAATGGGTTACTTTCATGGGGTCATATATAAACCTTTCTAAGATGAACCTAAGTAGCAGAATGAAACTTGAGGTTATAAATTCTGGATCTGTTTTAAAAGGCGAGTAAATGCAAACAATGGTGGCACTAAAAAGAAAGAAAGAGTTACCTGTGAAAAAAGTGCTGGCGTAAGAGAAGCTGTCGGGAGAGAGGGGCTCAATATTCCCAGTGGGCTTGGGTCACTGCCTGTGATCACGAGGGTGGGTGCCAGCTCTAACCCTTTGGGTTTCTTGGATCTGGATGAATTATTTGTTTTGTCCTTTTCTGGCAAAGCTGAGTCCTGGTCTTTAGGCTCCAGTGACAAGTTTTCCGGCAGTTCCATTGGCTGAGAAGCCACAGAATCGATGTCTGTGTCGATGTCTGGGTTGGAACTCAGCGGTGGTGAAGGTGTTCTAGGAGGCTCCTGCAAGGAAGGGGACACAGACGGAACAGGTGTGGCAGTAAAAGCGGGAGCTACGCTGGAGGCAGAGATTGGGGCTTCCAGAGCAGGCGGTTTGGGGGAAGCCAAAGTCTCCAATGCTTGGATAGTTTCCTCCGAAGATGGTGAAATACTTGGGCCGGTTGAAATGGTGGCACCAAGAGATTCACCTAGCGGCTTTTTAGAAGGTGTTGTTACAAATTTAATGACAGAAGGTGTTGGCTCCTGAGATTTTTTCTCTGCCAATTTCTCAGCTGGATTCTCAATCTTTATAGATTTGAACAGCTTCCTATTGGAAGAGTTCAAAGAGTTGAGAGTAAATGAAGAATATAAGCCAGAGTGTATGTAGTCGTTGCGGCTAGAGGTCTTGGCACCAGGCTGAGGCGGTTTCTCCTTCCCTCCATTCTCCACATCCTTGGAGCCACTGCTGACTTCGCTGAAGCTTAGGGCTTCACAGTCTCCCTCAATCCTGCCCACCGTCATTGGGTCCATGTTCAAGATCTCTGGGTAAGAGACAAACTTGTACACAAACTTCTGACCATTCACTTTTTTTATGATATTCTGTAGATAAATAAAATAAGCATTCTTATACTTTCTTATACTATTACCTCCCATAGCTCATGAAAAAGCTCACCTAATGACATTCTCTATTTGACAAGCAATTTATTTAAAAGCTTCAAAATCATCTAAATTATCTAACCATACCAACACAGTTCCTACTATTATGGAGCATGAGTTAAAATCATTTACATGTCTTACTAACAACTGAACTAATATGTTCCATTGATGCTGAAAGACTTTAATTGCTTAATACTCACAACCAGATATCTGTGTTAAGTCAAAAATCGCTGATCTGCAATCTCAAATAATTTCAAAGGTACAAGTCATACACATCCCAAGTAAGCAAAAAGGAATTTAGAACGTTACTTCTAAGGTTCCTACTTCCTTCAGAAACATGAGGGGAGTTGTTGCTCACCTCACGTCTCCACACAGGAAAGGTGATAAGATCAACAACTTAACGGTGAGAAAAATTAAGATCTCCACTTCTCATTCCAATGCTATCCATTTGAGCCATTTATTTTACCTCAGTGCTCACACATATTCGAAATAACAAGAAATTAAAATTTTTTAACTAAGAAATCAACTCTGTATTAATAGGTATGCTTTAAGGTATCAATGTGTGTTCTTTGGATTAAACTAAAATGTAAAAGTCAAGTGAAAATAACAAGTATATACGACAATTTTTCAAGTAAATTATGATTTACATAATATTTATCCCCAAGAATCTCAAATTTCCTTTTCTTTATTCCAATCCTATACTCACTTTCTCTTTAAAGACAACTTCAATTTGGAATAAAATATGTGTAATGGGAATGGGGTACTGAAGAAGAGTTTGCAGAAATACAGCTGAAACATTTCCATTTTTCATCCTAACCTTAAACTGCTGAAGCTATAAAAAAATTAGATTAAAATAAACCAGGATAGTGATAATTTCACAATGTAAACAAATACTGAATCATTGCCTAAATATATACCTAAAACTAATGTTATATTTCAATTATACCTCAATTTAAAAATTAAATAAATAAACCAGGACATTGCAGCTAACACCCTACCAGAAGGAACACGTCTTGTTCTGAAGTGTATGTGTGTTACCTTTACATAATAGTATCTGAGTGCTCGGCTGAGTTTGTCGTAGTTCATATTAGGCTTGTTCTTTCGAATTCCCCAGAGACGAGCCACCTCTTCTGCCTGCAAAAGCTTGAACTCCCCATTGTTAGAGGTCCAGCAGATCATGTGCTTGTGCTGAGGCTCCTGTAAGAGCTGGAGGAGGAACTGCCACAGGGTAATAGCACTGTCCATAGCAATGAGCTGAAAGAGGCATACGGATAAGAGAGACAATAATATTAACAGTCAACGCCTCGAGAACGCTCTATATCAGGCACTGTTTTAAGCGCTCTAAATCTATTACTTCATTTCATCCCCACAACGATCTTATAAGACAGATATTATTGCAGCCTCATTTTATATATGAAAAAACTGACTCATAAAAGAGTTAAGTAATTTGTCTGATGTCACACAAGTAAATGGTGGAGCTGGAATTTAAACGCAGACAATCAGATCCATAGTCCAAACTCTCAAGCATGCCGCACTGCTTAAGAAAAGTCCTGCTGGGAGATACAGCTAGTCCATAAATTATAGGAGCACCTTGATGATTGCCAATCACTAGAGTATCACTGTTATTAAATATATCTTACAAACTCACTGTCATATTCCTTGAGGAGACCACCATTTCAGCATCTATCTATATCGATCCAGTTGGTTTATTTGCCAAGATGTATGTGTGTGTGCCTCAGTGTGGCCTGGGGTGGGGTGGGGAGTAAGTGGGAGAGGTATGGTATAATCAATCTACTTTTGCCCTGCTGGTATTTCTCCATCAAATAATTTCTATTATCATAAATATAATTTAAATGTAAATTAGCAGCACTAAAATGTGGCAAACATTCCGATTTAATTTACAAGTTCTGTCACATTTCTGTCCATAGGGATCCATTTGCATACATCCTCCTTTAATTTGATTAGCAACCTTTCTTTGATAACAAGACATGAACTGAAAAATCCTTCAACAGCCCAAGTTTTAGTATCTCCCTGTTTAGGTCGGAGTTTCTCAATGATTGACATTCTGGGCCAGATAATTCTTTGTTCCTGGAGACTGTCCTGTGCATTGTAGTTTGTTTAACAGCATCCCTGGCCTCTACCTACTAGATGCCAGTAGCACCTCCAGCTCAACTGTGACAATCAAAAATGTCTCCAGACATTGCCAAATGTTCTTCCTGGGGACAAAATCGTCCCAGTTGATAACCACTGGATTAGGTAATGGAGCAGCAAGGAAATGCTCTCACAGTTATTTTCCTCATAAAATTTCAAAACACTTCGTTTAACAGGAAGAATTCTTTAGGGCAGAAACTGGCCAAATACAAAAAGCACTAAGAAGCCTATAACTGAACTATATCCACACAAAAACAAAAAGAACCTTCCTTTTCTTTTTTAAGTCTAGGAATGAGATCTTAATGGATCAGAACAGGACTTGAAAACAATTAAATCGATTCCATTAAAATACTGCAAAAACAAGTAAATTGGGCTACATCAAAATTTAAAATTTCTGCGCTGCAAACAATTAACATCAAGTAAAAAGGCGATCCTTAGAATAAGAAAAAATATTTTCAAATCATAAAGGACTTGTATCAAAAAAATATAAAGAACTCTTACAATTAAAAAAAAAAATAGGCAAAAGATTTGAAAAAACATTTCCCTAAAAGAGATACAAATGGCCAATAAGCACATGAAAAGATGCTCGACATCATTAGTTATTAGGGAAATGAAAATGACAACCACCTCAGATACCACTTCACACCTACTAGGATGCCTATAATCAAAAAGACAGATCATAACAAGTGTCGGTGAGGTTTGAGAGAAAGTGAAACCCTCATACATTGCTGGTGGGAGTATAAAATGGTAGAGCCACTTCGGAAAACAATTTTGACAGTTCCTCAAAATACTAAATAGAGAGTTACCATACGACTCAGCAATTCTACTCCTAGGTACACACCAAAGAGAAATGAAAATATATGTCCACACAAACATCTGTACAGGAATGTTCACAACAGCATTACTCATAATATCTAAAAAGTAGAAACAACACAAATGTCCAATTGAAGAATAGATAAATACAACATGGTAAAACCGTAAAGTGGAATATTATTCAGCCAGAAAAAGGAATGAAGTATGGATATATGCTACAACATGGATGAACCTGGAAAACACGCTAGGTGAAAGAAGCCAGACACGGAAAGCCACATACTGTACGGTTCCATTTAATTAGTAGTTGCTTAGGGATGGGGGATGGATGATAAGAAAAATGGGAGTGACTGCTAACAGAGTGATAAAATATTCTAAACTTAGATGTGGTAGTGGTTACATAACTCTGTGCATATACTTAAAACCATTTAATTGTACATTTTAAACAGGTGAAATTTATGGTACATGAATTTTATCTCAATAAAGACGTTAAAAACAAACTAACACTATAAGCATTACAAAAGTTAGGCCTGAGAAGCTTAATTCTAATAAGGTATAACTCACAGAGGATGGATCCTTAAAGGTCACCTATATCCGATTCTAAAAAGGGAGAGATGAGGAACTGGGAAATATTTGGGTTTCTATAACTTTCCTGAGATACTCAAAATATCCTCCAATAATCTTCACAGTTACCACTTTGAAGCTGGTTATACAGAAATACCGTTGTCCAAAAGGAGAGATGGGAAAATAATAAAGAATAGAAAGGGGGAGATGCTTCCCAGTTAGCATTAATGGAAAAGCTGAGGCCATCAATCCAGCAAACTCTTCCATCACAGTTGCATACTCTGTTCATTAGAAAAACCACTTCCCTTGATGGACAGAAGCATTCACATCTCCAGCCGGTTGTAAAAAAGTATTACATATTAGTGATAATAATCTACAAACATCAAGTACTACTTTTGCGCTTAAATAACCAAATCCACTAGAATGTTTCTCATAGCCTCCCTTAAGCTAGGTTAAAATAGTGGTTTACATTATATTAAATCCATCTAGTATTGGGGGATGGAAGGTCCCCTCATTTCCCTGAGTTTACCAAAGAGGCCTTTCTTCTGGTGATGCTGGTTCATGCCAAGTTGCTGTTCAACATGTTTCCCACCTAAACAATTATTTGTTAGTCTAAACCTGTTAAAACTTCCCTCTAATAAATGTTAGCTTAAACAAAGCACTCACTCTCCACATTTCCAGACATAATCTTCATATCAAGAATGCTTATAGGGGTTGGGCTGTGTGTGAGAGAGGCGGGGAGGGAGAGGGTGAAGGAGAGGGAGAAGGGGAGAAAAACAGCAAAGAACCAGAATTTCAAGACTACTACAGATATGGTGCCTATAATTCCAATTGTTTTCGTAAAAATTCCCAAAACCAAATCTCAGAGTCTTAATAACTATCATGTAGATAAAGCCTGAGCCCTATAATGGCTATAAGCTATATACGCCAAGACAGAAAGGGATGTTCTTCAAGGTGCTGTGGGCTTAACTGCACCTTCCCCTCTGGTTATTAGAAGAGTGTGTGTACTGAATCAAATGCTGGTGAGCTGTTTGACACGTTAGGGCAGAATCTAACTGTTGTAGAAAATGCTGATGCTTCTTTTAGTACTTTACAGTGTGTCTGGAATAGAAGGTTGTTGAGAGTCAAAAAAAAAGGGCATTGTGGTTTTGGACTGAAGTACTGGAAAATAACTTTCTTTTGCAAAAAGCTAACAAAGACATAAAATGAACATCTTCAAAGGGTACTTTAAAAGGAATATTTTATTCATTTAATTTTGTTGTCAGGTTATTCTTTGAAAAGTTGGGGAACCACCAGGTAGTTAAGTTGAACATCTTTAGTTCCTAAAAGCATGCTATTAACATGAAATTCAATGATTTCCTGAGCCACTAAAGAAAACTAAAGGAAATATATTCCAAGATAGTAAAAATTACAAAGGCGAAGTGAAGTCAAAAAATACACTTTTATTCTAGCTACCCATCAAACTATTTTCCTTCTCACGAAAATCTCGAGTTTTCTACAATTACAGTTTCAAAAGTTGTTTTCGTTTTTTAAGTATAATGAGGAAGGAAAATATCCTATCCAGTTGAAGGAATCCGACTGAGGGGTTAAATGGTGAAAACTATTGATTCTACCTTAAAACTTCAAAAATAGTACTTTAAACCCTGTGCTAAACTGAAAGAGGGAGCATGTTGAAATAACTTATTAGGAAAAGGAAGTCTCTATTAAATGAAAACTTTTCCACCTAAATATGTTTGTAATACACATAGTCCAGTTGCTGTGGTGACCATAGCCCAACTTTTTTTCAGAAACAGTAGCTAAGACCCAAAAAAAATAAATGTCTCCAAATTCAGCGAGCTGCTTAAATAAAACAAAAGCAAATTATGAAACGTATCAAGACTAGTCTTGAATTAAAAATCATCATCATCAAAAAGTAACCAGGTAGTCTACCACCATGCAACCCTGAACGCGCCTGATCTCGTCTGATCTCAGAAGCTAAGCAGGGTCGGGCCTGGTTAGTGCTTGGATGGGAGACCACCTAGGAAGACCAGGTGCTGTAGGCGGTAAGGAAAAAATAAAGTAACCAGGTGTCTAATTGTACAGTAACCTATACTAAGAGAATCTTAAAAGAAGTATACTGCTACGTTACAATAAAACTTGAAGACAATGTTTCCCTAAAAATGTAATGGATTCTACTTATGAAGTTTTAATGTTTAAGTAAAATCGAGGAGACAGTTCCTGAGCGCAGGGGCGCGCGGGGCGGGTGGGTGGGGGACAGGGGATTGAATCTTACTACATTTTAACGAAAACACCACTGACAATACTAAATATTGAAGCACCAAGTTTTGCTCGCAGTGGGGTTGTGGGTCGGAGACTGCAAAAGGGGAAGGCGGATCTGACCCACCTACCTAAGAGATGGGCGAACTGCTCTGAGGAATAAAACTCAGGGTATTTATAATGCCCTAAACTTCAAAGAACGGTAGCCTGGGAAATCGTCAACTATGCATATATCTTGTGCATACATTTTGACTACTTCCATCAAAAATATCCCTTATTTCCTACCAAGACCAGTTAACATTCTGCCCCCAAAAGATGACTGCAATCGATCTTCCTAATAATGAAGCTACCGACCCTGATGCAGCTGCACGTGAAGGGCAAGTCAAAGGGTAGGAAGTTTGCTGGCGGTAAGTAGAAAAATGAAACTTCACACCGGATGAAGAGCGAGCTTGGGGAGAGGAAGAAACACGGGTGTCCGTGTGCCGCAGAGGAGATCAAAGTT